ATTATCATTTAGTCCTGGAAAGCAGGAGCTTCCAAACATGGTGGAAATGCCCTCCACATCCCTAGAGGACATTTGGGGGCATTCTGAAGGATAAAGTTGCAAAAAAACAAAAATAAATAAAAATTGACCCATGGGAGGACCAGAGTGAGGGCCACAAAAAACACTCTGGAGACTGCAATTTGCCCCTTGGCTGAGTTGTTCCTTCTTGCAGAACTGCACCAAGTCTCCATTTGACCTTTCTTACTATCTTCCTTTGTTTGGTCATATTTGTATATTTCAGCCTTCCCTTTGGTTGTCTCAAATTGTCCCTGCTCATTTGAGTATAGCAACTGTATAATTTGTATCCAGCTCCAAAATGATAGGCACTCTCTATGTAGATTACATAGCTCTGAAGACATCTCAATTCTACAACACTAATCTGTTTAATCCCACTTGAGAGGCATCCAAATGGATTTTAAGTATCCAGGGAAAATCTGCGAGGTGCATCCCTAGCTCAATCAAAGGCTACCACACAGTATGTGACCTCAGGGACTGCTATGAACCAGCAACTGGTTAACACAACTGACCTTGTTTATCAAATGCCACTTCATGCTTAATAAGAAATTGGCACTAAATATTTCAATGTAGATTCTGCTATTAGCCCACTTTCTCTAGAATACCAATTTCTTTAGTATACCAATTTCACAGAAGACTTGGCCTTTCCTCAAATGAAAATGGGAGCATCCCCTGCCATTGATCAAACAACAGTAAATCCAGGAACAACACAAACCTCTATGGTTATGATTACAACTTTTGGCAATACACAAATTTTCAGGCAATTTCATTTACAAATACTTTTAGTTCCATAGTTAAAAGGGGAGATAGACAGAATTTTACCTATGTGTTTATCAGCCACAGAAAACTCAAGCTTGAATTGTTCTTTGATGAAAACATAAAATATCTTAAGCCATTTTGTAAATGTATAAACTGAGCTAGTTCCCCAACCCCAGAAGGTTTCCTGGAGGTTCCATGAGAAGTCAGTGTGGTGTAGTGGTTTGAGTGTTGGAGTAGGATGCTGCAAGACCAGGGTTCAAATCCCTACTTCTCCCAAGTACTCACTGGATGACCTTGAGCAAATTACACACTGACTCAGAAGAAGGTAATGGCAAACTTCTTCTGAAGAAATCTTGCCAAGAAAACCCTGTGATAGGTTCACCTTAGGGTTACCATAAGTCAAATAAATACAACTTGAAGACACAAAACACACATTATTTAATTAAATCTGTAGTTAAGACTTGCATTATAACACAGTCCAAGGATTGACTTGAAGGAGGAAAAGTATGCTAATACAGTTACTGTCTGTTCCTGTTGGCACTGTGCAGGTTCGTGTCATTGTGGTATGAATTTCTGGGACTGCATTTTTAGTAGAAAGTTTTTGAAAGCCTTCAGGGAAAATGCTGAAGCTAGAAGAGTGCAAAGTCCAGCTTTACATCCTATACTCATCTTGTTCCTATTCAAAAGTTATTCTGGGTTTTTAGTACTAAATAGCATAGTGCCAATGTCTCTTTTGCTTTGTGATGGACAATACAAGCAATTTTTTCATAGCAGTAACCTTATCTTCTCTACACTTCTAGGGCTTTAAATCTATGTTTTCCAATTTATTAACTTGATTTCAAGCACATCTCTCACTTTCCTTTTCTATCTTTGACACACAACCTTATACACCCCAGTAATTATATATTTTACATTAACTATAACATTTCTTTCTGCACACTCCCCAGCTAAGCTCTTAGTGCACAGTATAGGGTACAAATCAGGCTGTGCACAAAACTCATCTTATTTTTAAACACATGATTTATGTTGAGAAAAGTTGAAAATAAAAGGTCTGTCTCTTTAAAAAAAACCCAGTCTGTCAGACACAATAGCTTAGCTTCCATTTCAGATATTTTGTCATGTTTAAAGAATCACTCAAATACACAGGACAGATGTATCCAATTAATGAGACCTGTCTACCAGGAGTAAATAGAAATTTTCCCCCAGTTCATTCCTCTTATTTCTACTTTCCTGGCACATTTCCTCTGATACTCATTGTCTATAAGTACAGCTAGTCTCTTATGGTCACAACTGATCAGTGGATTTTCTTCCTTCCGTCAACGCTATCCCTATAGTTTGTAGCAAGGGTGGGAATCATGCAGCCCTCCAAATGTTCTTGGATTGCAACTCCCAGTACTCTTCACCAATGACTATAATGGCTAGGGCTGCTGTTGGGAGGAAACAAGTTCCCCACCCTTGATTTATAGGGATAAAAATGAGGTTTGTATGTAATTTCTCTTTTGTTCTTCATTTTTATCATCATTGGTCAGCTCAGAACATCAATGGCAATCTTGCAACTTGCAAATAAGTGTTAGAACCTTTCTTTAGAAAGCACTGCAATATAGAGAGTCAACTGTTTGATTTCTTTTTCAGTACTACTTGTCTTATTCCTTATCTACAATTTTTATTTTATAAAAGCTTATTGGTTTAGAACCTATGTTTGGGCTGAACATCTTTTGGAGATCCCTCACATTTGTCTGTGTTCCAGATTAGTCATTCATGCTATACAGAGGGAAACAATAAAGAAATAGGCTACACTTGTCCAGGATTACTGGGGAGGGCTGGCTAATAACTGTCCTCTCTTAGATCAAATCCCAGATCTTGAAATTAATGCATTATAACCAACATAAGTGTCACCCATTACATTTCTGCTCAATGTAGGCAGAATGAGGTAACTTTTGACTACAATGAAGTGAGGTGCAAACACAATGGCAATGAGTGCTAACTTGTTAGTGGAGTGTGTGACATGGAAATACTGTTGTCGTGTTCTGTCAGGGTTAGTTGAATGGGAAAGGATAAAGAGACAGACATGCAGTTGAGGAGATAGGTGGAGAAAGAGAGAGACATGCAGTGACAGGGGCTGAAGAAGAAGGAATAGGCAGGATTTGAGAAGGCAGACTTGCCTAAGCCATGGAAATAACAACAAGTGAGGTCTCTGAGCAATGGCACTTGTCTGGCCAGTCTCTACTCTTCCACTTAACAGTATTGTGGTTTGCCTCACCTGAGAGGTGGATGAGAGGAAGGAAGAAAAACTCCTTACCCTGTGGCTTAGACATGTCTGTCCTGCAAGGGTAACAGAAGCCTCAAAGCAGGTAAGACCAAGCAGGCACCAATCTAGTGCCTGTTTGGAGCCTGATGTGCCCTTCCCAAATGTTCAGTTAATTGGGTCCAAAATCCTTCATCCTCATCAGCTGGGACAAGGTGTATTTGCTGATACTATTTCTCTTAAAATAAATGGTCAGCTAACAGTTAACATGGGATGTGGTGGCTTAGTGGTTAAGATGCCAATTCTGATGATCAGAAGATTGGAAGGTTGGCAGTACAAGGCTCAAGTGCCACATGCTGGAGTGAACTCCTGTCACTAGTCCCAGCTTCTGTTATGCTAGCAGTTCAAAAGCATGCAAATGCAAGGAGATAAATAGGTACCACTTCAGTGGGAAGGTAACAGCATTTGGTGCAGTCATGCTGGCCACATGACCACCAGAGTACTCCTCAGACAACGCTGGCTCTTCAGCTTAGTAATGGAGATGAGCACAGCCCTCTAGTCAGTTGCGACTAGATGTTCATGTCAAGGAACTACCTTTACCTTTAATAGTTAACATAACAAATTAACAGAAATGTTTAACCTCACTAATAATTATCAAAATTAATTAAGCTTTCATGGAAGAAGAAGAAGAAGGTGGTTCCAGTTTCTATAAAATCCATCGATCTCTGAATATCCCTCATTCCACCTAAATTCCACCTAAAGTTCTTCCTGATGATTGGAGTTCTCCAACAGTGGAACAGACTGCCTTGAAAGGTGGTATATTCTCCTTCTTTAAATAGAAGTTGGATGGCCATCTTTGGGAGTGCTTTACTATGTTCCTGCATGCCACCATGTTGGACTAAATGACCCTTGCAATCCCTTCCAACTTTATGGTTCTAAGATCATAAGTTGATGGATGTTGGCAGCAAAAAGTAAGGAAGAAACCCTGCAGGCTAGCCTTCTGGGCATAGCAGTCAGATGCACTCTCTTACAACTTGGAGGAAATGTTCAAAGACCAGTCCAGTGACTACAATAAGTGGAACCGCTTATGTATCAACAATAAACAAGTAAGAATGCACAACCTCGTCAGTATTTTTTGCCCAAGTGTTTGTCACTCAGAGTGTATGTTACCAGTGTATGTTGCTCAAAGAAAGCAAGAAGCAAAACTTAACAGATTGCAAGAAACATTGATTGGTGCAGATGTAAATTATACATACTTTTTTTGCTCATCACACTGGGACTTAGACTTTAGAATATTACTTGTAGGATGTGTCTTGCTCAGGTGGTTATTTCATTAAACTAAGGAGATGTTGCCTGATTGGTTTTAAAAAATTGGCTCCCTAATCTCCTCTTCATCCCTGCTTTCTCTTTCTTAATGTTATCACAAGCCTTTTAGAAAAAGAATTTGTGTTGTTGTTCATTACTGTCAATTGTATCTGATGGCAGAAGGCCACATTGCATGATACCAACTGTTTTGTCTCTTTTTTCCAATCAGTTATATAGAAAATTGAAAGTGGTCTCTGACCATTTCAAGGCAGCTGTCCTGTACTTCTCCATAGTTGGCAAATTCAATCAGAAAGTGTCTTGGTACTTATATATCATATATATGGGCTACGCATTTGCTTCTCTTTGTTTCTAGGGTGAAATTTGTGCCTTCCAATTTTCAGCTGCTACTTCGTGGTCACTGATTGCATTTGGAGACATCTGTCCTAATTTAGAATGCTGTACTCTTGACAACTGTCCTGCTGATGAAATAGCTCTGTCCATTAGTCATATCTGCAATGTGCAAAAATGCTCCTATCTTTTATTTCTTTTCTCTTGCAAAATATATCTTATGAGCCCAAAGAGGCTGAGTAGAATATCTATATGGAATAGTTCCATGCAGGTGATAACACCTTAGAAAGCCAGTGTGGCGTACTGGTTTAAGTACTGGACTGCAACACTGGAGACCAGGGTTTGATTCCCAGCTTGGCCATTGAAACTCACTGGGTAACCTTGGGCAAGTCACATGCTCTTAGCCTCAGGGGAAGCCAATGGTAACCCTCCTCTGAACAAATCTTGCCAAGAAAACCCTATGATGGGTCCAACTTAGGACCTTATCACACG